ATACTTTTTCACTGACAACTAACTCACGCCACTTCTCAACAAACTTGACCTTTACAGTAACACATAATATTGCAGTCGTTGCAAAAGCTTATATTTTTAACTATACAAACAATTTGATAGGCCTGGTTGGTTGTGTAATATAATCAATGGTTACTTATATCAATCAAACCTCACCAGCTCCATGGTGGAATAGCCATTGTATTATTTCACTAACCACATTTACAAACCATTTTACTTAGTATATTTGCACAGTTTATATTTTTACAAATAGCATTTTTATTTTTCATTACAAAATTTAATAACATTACTGGCAAGTTACTGTAACTTGACACACAAGTGTATTTAAACTTTATAGCTGTGTAAACAATCTGCTACTGAAGCTTTAATTCTATTGGGCTGCCTTATTTAATTTTGTTACTTTTTCAGATGGGCAAGAAAAAACTATATAATATCGCTTTGGGTGATAAAAGTGGTTTGTTTTCCTTTTCATTGTTAAAAACCAATTATGCTAGTGTTTGGATAAATGTGTTATTTTTAAGTATCTCTTTTGGTGTTTAGAAATGTAATAAAATTAGAATTTTAACATAAATTCTGAATGTTTATGATTTAATTTAATATTATACCTGTAATATTGTCAGTGGCAATACTACAACTATTTTTCATACAAGGATCAGAGAACTACATTTCTTTATTTGTTGATCATTTCCATTTGCTGACATAAATAAATATAGAACCAAATATCTGCATAAATAACGTGTATTCAATTTCTGTCGAAGTGTTCATTCATGAAATGTCATATTGGCAGAAACAACAGGGATTTCAAATAATATTTGATGACCTTTGAAATGCTACGCTAAGACAACAACAAACTATGTTTATTTACAATTCAAACTACACCAACCAAATTGTACAGAGAAATGTACTACAGTTATGTTGATGACGTGGCAAAAACGACAGATTAATGGCTGCCATAGGGACAGAGAGCGTGTCAGTTAAACCTTTGCTGTTACTGTCAAAAGTTAAGGCCATACGTTACAGATGTTTTGAGAACAGGAAAAACAACACATTTTATGATAACTGACATAAGGTATTGAATATATTAGGCAACAATCAAAGTTCAATATAATAGTGTATAATGCTTTGTTATAAAATCCACTACATTTTTGGACATTCTTAGTTATCCTTTTCCTCAGTAAAATACACTTAATTATTTTGCACCATGATATACAGCCAAATTTACTTTCATTTGTAATGTATTTTGTAGTTTATTAGTATAGTTTTGATGACTTGTTATAAACATATGTTAGGATTAATTTGTTTAAATTTACATTTTAATTAATCTAGAGGTTAAAATACCTTTAATCCGTCAAAGTGATCAAACATTTTAATGTCACAAAAAATAAAGGTGTACGTCAGGCTAGTGCTACATTTCTAAAAGCTTAAAAAAAGCTAAACGTCCTTTTGACTGTGCTCTGAATTCTGATTTGAACCATTGAAAATAGCTGTGATAAATTCTATTCTGATCTCTTATTTGTAAATCAAAGTCAGGAGTGTAGCACGAGAGCCTTGTTAATACCAGATTATGTAACAGCATACTACTACATGTGGCTCATGCGAAGTGGCCAATCTTTATATGACTGAAACTACTAATATACCAAAGTTAGTTACTTCAGTAGTCTTTGTATGTCCTCGGCTGATAAGTTGCAAACAAACAAATTTGTATATTACATAAACTAGTTGTGATAAAACGCATCTCGACTAATAGGTTTAGTTATAAGATTTTTAGGGCAAGAATAGTTATTTTTACTGCTTACATTTATCGTAGTATTTAGCGTTATGATTAAAGGTGGTGTATTCTTTGATCTTTATACTCTTATACGAGCAAGGTTTTACTTGTGTGTATGTATGCTTGCTTGCTTGCTCAAATATTTTAAACAATAATTTATCTTCGACGATTACCTTCAAATGCTGTAAATAATGTTTTTATGGCATAAAATCCTTATTGACAACAGCAAATACCTCAGGAAAATTTTTATTTCACTACACCAACCCATTTGAAAATTTTAAAAGTAATATTGGCCTAATGGGTTGCCAAGTAAATATCTTGGTTGAACAAAATAACGAGGAAAAAATAAACAAAAGACTTGTCATATGTGTTTATAACAAGCCATCCACTGTATACTATCAAATGACAAACACGCACTATTATGATCAATACTCTACTTGTTAGTTTTTCTTTTTCACGAATATTAGAATTTTCTTTGGAGTATAGACAAAAATAATAATTACTAATAGTAACAATAAAAAGAGAATACATTTATATTAGTATATAATTAAAACTGTTCTAACATCGGTATGAGTTTAATGTATAGAAAATAGTTTTTACAAAGGCAGAGGTTGAAGGTAAATTGTTGCTAAAGTGGCGGTGATGACGTAGAAGAATATGTGACAATTTGTCAGTGCGGGACAAAACGTCAACAATGAGGTCATTCTGGGCCACAGAGAGGATTGTGGTTATACAAACGTTTGTGCTGACATTGTGGCCAGATTTTATATTACTTTTGTTAGCTTGCATTGGGGAGAATTAGTGATGTTATGGAAATTTGATATTGTGAATGACAAAACTTAAGTTTAGGCTGTTTTTTTTTTTTTTACTTTATATTGTAACCCAATAACACATTGTAAAATAACCTATTATTCAATGACATAATTATAGAGTATTCACTAAGATTATGATAATTTAAAGATAATGCAATGTGCCTAGTAGTTTATTAATTAGGGTTGTCTTAAATGTACATACAAAGACAACACAGTTGATATAATACAGTTTTTTTTTATTAAATAATCCTATCAATAAAATACTAAAATTATAAACCTTCTTTTGATATTTTAGATTCAAAGGGTCTCTATTAAAAAGTTGTCCTCTTTTACATCCATCTGGAGCCAGTTTTACGCGGTTTACATGTAAAAAAATATTTAGTTTATTTTAAAATATGACAAAACAATGTTATACCCCCGCCAAAAGTTTTTTATATGTGTTTCATATAACAAGGCTTTATGAGTAGTGTATATAATATATACTTGTTGTCCGATTTGAAGCCATCTAGGTTTGGTGTTATTATCTTTTCTTTTAGCTCTTTCTTGGAAAAAAAACAGTAGACATTTGTTTGATGTTACATTAATATTGTCGTCAGCTCTTCATGTAATATTCATTTATAGTTAAAGTAAGGATGAGGCTGCTTATTTATTCTCCATTTATGTTGTACTAATAATGTAACTAATAATCTGAAATAAATTTACACTTTATAGTCAGATATTCAAAGAAAACAATGGTGAAAATGTGTCTTTTGTATCCGCTCTGAAGGACTTCTTACAATGCAATATTCATATAAAGTTGTAATGCATGGTTGAATCTAAAAATTGAATATATTTATAAATTTATAATTGTATTGGTTCGGTTCAAATTTATAAACTCATTTATACTTAATTGCCTGACAGTTAACAGTTCTTAAGCAGACAAGAGACATAAATTAGAGCGTCGCTTGCTCAAGACGCGACAATGCTTAAGAGGACGATAAAGGAGACGTTTATAGCACAATACATCTTGTGTGGCATCAGTTATGCCTCACTGTAGAGTCTTGCATTCAAGCAGGGGTGGTTTGTACTAGACAATAGGGGTTTCTATTGACACATTGATCACCCCTTTGGCATAACCCTTAGAACAAATTGTACATAAACATATATACGACAGATAATATATATTTACTACTGAAACGTATCTACACATGTTAAACATGGACTGGATTAGTACAGGACCGAAGCTGAAATTTAGTGGTAAAACAAGGTGGCATATACAAAATTTTCGTTTTTCCGATCAATGGGTGACAGAAATCGAAATTGCTGCCTTTGTAGCTTACATACTCTTATAAAAATATCCAATAGCAGAACCTTTATTTTTGAAAGAAGCCTAATAGCCTTCCTAACGAATATGCTAGTCTTTCAGAATATGATGGATTATAAAATCTTTAATAGGCTTAACCTTTACACTCATTGTTGTATAATCTTAACATATCTGCAATAATATATATTTTATTCCCTTAGGTAAACTTTATATTCAAAATACAATAGTTTGTTTTTTATTTGAGTTATAAAGATATCTTATGATGCTAAGCAAATTCAAAATTATCTCTGTATTAGATGGGTAAAACTGTTTCCTTAAAGAAGGAAGACGGCTCATTTCCTCACTAAATGTCTCATCTCGTATTTTACTCAAAGGGAGTTTGACACTCAACCTAATGGAGGACTGAGACTCACTCTTACTGAAGAGGTGTTTTGGTTTTATATGCTACTTGTGTTGATACCCATATGTATTTTTTTTTTATATGACAAATGATGTTGATACGAGGTGATTTTTAAGTAAAGGCCGTTTTTGCGTATAAATCCGTAGTTCGCTTTTATGTCACAATAAGGCGCCTCCCCGCTTACTGGCATCATTTGTAAACAGAATGACACAATTAGCAGCTCTGTAGCTGACATGTACGCTTCACTGTCTGTTTTTAAAACTTTGTATACAACCAAATCTCCAGCCGGCATATATAACAATTCAAATTAATAGTGTTTTTGGCTTCTGGGGACATGAAAATGAATCAGTGAATCGGTCCAGGGTCTAGGTTTTACCATGCCTCCTACGGTAATAGCTACTTACCTATAGTATTTACGATTTATATTCGCTAAAACGTATTTTGTTTGTTTAAAAATAATTTGAGTAAACCCAGTTTGACGTCTTGGGTTATGATAGCTTCCTTTAAATTGCATAAATGACATGTGTTAATCTAACATTTCAGAGCTGATTATCTGACAGATTAAGTAGAGAACAATACTATCATGTTGAAATGACACACTGAACTCAACTTCAACGAGTTTATCAAGGTAAGGAAGCTACTTTGCTGATATCAATAATCTAGCCAAGTAAGATTAAAACCCTCCAATTTCGTGCAAGATTTCCACACCCAACAGACCTAATCTAGACTTGTTCAATACCGTTGTGCTTTGATTTTAGTTGTGGAAGTTTTGATGAACATTATTTTTTATCATGCGTCTTTTAAAAAGTCTTCTTGTAGAGATTGCTATAATATGTAAGTATTTTTATGCTAGAAAACTTGTCTGTTGGTAACACTTCATTAAGTACATAAATTGTGTTTTGACTAACCTTGAAAGAATGAAAAATGCATAACTATACCAACTAATCCTTCATCAAGGATCGGTAGTATAATTTTAGTGAAGAATATTTTTATAAGGTGGTAATTTTTTAACTTTATATACTAATGTAATACGGTGTATTTTTTGGTTATACTAATGACAATGAAGTTTGCAATACCTATTTCATAGTATTTTTGTCATTCTTAAGTACATAAGGTATCAATAGTTATTGGAAATTGTTTTGGTTTTCTAGTAGCATAAAGAATTGTTTCGTGGATCAATTCATATGGAGAAAAACACTACCGTAAAGCCTTATAATATACATCTTTCTGTCTTGATAAGATTAATTAAACAGTAACTTTTGTTAACATAAAAAAACTATAAATATGGTAAACATTATACTTATAGCCATATACATATGTCAAGTATACAATTAAAGAAAATTAAATTAATTAAAAATATAAGGATGTGTGTGGTCCACCTAAGGTGTTTTTAATACATTGATTCAATGTTGATTCAGTTGATGAAAATGAATCATTGAATATTATCATAAATCATTGATTTATATAATCGTTGAATTATTATAAATTTTTGTTCTTTATTTTAAATGCCATACAACGGAGAAAACTTAAATACGTAATATATACATATATAAACATTTGTAGGTCTGGCCGTAGCGGAGGATGTACCATGTTCTCCTCGAGCAGGAGATCCAGGACAAGGCCAAATCTGTGTATGTAACTCTACCTTCTGTGATACTATAGAACGACCAACTGCACTACCCAGAGGCCAGTACCATCACTATACAACTAGCAACTCTACACCTGGGTTCACACATACTACAGGGTCATTCAATTTGCATCAAAATGAAGATAATTCATATGGTATGCAGATTAATACCTATCAAGCAATTCAAAGAATTTTATCACTATTTACGTTTTGACAAACAAATATTGCTTTATTGGTTTGGATTTTTAAGTTAAATCTATTTTAACTTTTTCAGCCTATTAAAACAACAAAAATAATAAACGAATGAATAAAACGGTAAATTATAAGTTATATAAACAAAAGTTTTAACCCAAATGGGAATTCCTTGAGTGAGAGTGCGTCCCTAGATTCATTAGTACTATTGAGTTGAGAAAAGAACACAAACAACAAGAGTAATTTGGCCTCTAGAAATAACAATGACGGCTTTTGCAGTGGTATGCAATTCAGTGGGTAATATATTAATATTATAATATGCTGAAACGTATGTTTACAGATATTCTATTCAAGATTGATAACAGTGTTCAGTACCAGGAAATCATTGGTTTTGGAGGATCATTTAGTGACTCAGCAGGTATTGTTATCAGTGAACTGTCAGAAGAAGCTCAAGACAATCTGATCAAGTAAGTTTTTAAATACATAAAAACAATCTTTTGCTTACATCACAATAAATTATCCTAAAATTCACTTGAATCCATTACGAAACCTTACAAACAGTATATGTCTATTTGCTTATGTCTACAGTGTTCATGTATACTTGCTATTAACTAAACGAAATATGCTACATACTTAACACAGATATTAGTAGGTTATGTAAATTCTGAATCAGCTACTTGAAATTGGAGTGAATATCCTATCTGGTGAAACAGAAATGTCAATTACTAGATACCATCATTAGATCACCTACTACGGTTGAGTTGAATGGTGCAAACCAAATTGAGATTAAACATTAGTATCAAAACTGAAATGTGATACTGAGTCTTGTCTGAATTATGTGATGAATTTTCTGTAAGACAACAGGAAATTCCTTCACCGCTCATTCTGGGTTCATATTACTATATTTACAGTTAACTATATAACTATTTACTTACAGTTTACTATATTTAAAATGTGTTTGTAGGTCATATTTTGGAAAAGACGGTATAGAGTACACTCTCTGTCGCACGACTATTGGTGGGTCAGACTTCTCAGGGAGGCCTTACTATACTCTAGATGACGTCCCGTATGATGACGGGCTGACCCAATTCAGCCTCACTCATGAAGACTATGCATACAAAGTACGCAATACACTATTATAATTTCTCATGATTGTTTTTTAAAAGGTTTTGTGACACTCAACTTTTAAAAGGGTTAGTGTACAATTTTGACCAGGCATTCTTCTGCATAAGAATACACCAAAAGCCTGTGTGGCATGCAGGAAGAGCCTGTAGCGTATGACAACAGTATGATAGATTTATTCATTGAGTATAAACGAACAGTATATATAAAATATATTCAGTACGTGTATACTCAATGGTTTAATTGATTACACTGTGATCAAAACCAACGATATAGCTGCTTTGGATTTTGAGTTCGAAGCACTATCCAAGCCTTCGACTCAACTAAATCGCATACGTACCACCAAAATACACTGTTGAATTGCTTGATGGTTTGCACAATGAACCAGTGAACACAATTAACATAGACCAGTTTTTAGTTTTTTTTTTTAGTTATTATCCTCCAATTGTTGTAGCTTCCAGTGAAATTGTTGATTGAGCATGCAATGACCTTCAGTTTGTTGATTGTTTTAGATACCTTACATCCAGAAGGCCATGGCAGTTAGTGACCGAGGTATCAAATTATATGGTTGTGCCTGGAATTCTCCCCAGTGGATGAAGACAAGCTACTCTCAAGGGAAAGGAGGTGCAGGCTACGTGAGAGAAAGATACTTGAAAACCTACGCACAATACCATGTTAAGTATGTTGTTCATATCGTTATTTCCTGCAGTCTTTGAATAAATTTTGAGTGTATTCAATGGTTCTAGGTCATTTATTATGGTAACAAAAATCTCCATGGTTTAATTGTATTGATTATAAACAAATTTATGGCATAGTTTGCATCATCAAGTAATCCACATTTGCAGAGATCAATTGATTTACCTACATATGTTTTTTATTCCTTTAAAAGGGGTATAGTAACAGTGACACGAACACAAATACATTACGAAAATTATACTATAGGTGAAGTAATATAATTTATTACTTCATCTATGATAATACCGTTGACAGACCTATCAAGGGACGCCTGGGGTCTCAGTGCAGTTAGAAAAATAACATGTTTATATGTTTATTAATTTAAATATGTAACTGTGTATTAATAATCTTCTTACTGAGTTATACATTTCATAAATTACACCCTTCGATGTGTTTTACAGTTTTATATTTGTAAATAATTTGAATGAAAATATAATATTCTTTAAAATAACAAAGGTGTTTTAAGATTAATTCAAAACAGCAGTGACAGCCATAAAAACATTAAGTATTCAAACATGTCGAGTCTGGCTGATAAAAAAGAAAATTGTCATAAAAATAAAAGATAGCCTAAGTGATGAATTTTGAAATTTCCCATTCATTTTTTCCAATTAGGTTCCTCGAAGAGTACAGAAAGAACCAGATAGACATTTGGGGAATAAGTGGAGGAAATGAGGTGATGCTTGGAGTTATGGTAGGACTCAACTGCACTCAACAACTAGCTAACATTCAGCGCAACTGGCTGAAGGATTATCTCACCCCACAGTTGAGCGCTGCCAACCTAAGTGATGTCAAGTTCCTGGGCATGGACGATATGAGATTGTTTGCCCTATATTGGGGTGACCGGGTAAGTATGATGGAAATCAAGTTGATAAGAACTGTAATCTTCCTAATATTGTTTCATGTGTTTTTATTTTCGCCAATTATTGTTTTAGGGTCCCATTGTCTTATTAAGAAGAAAATTTGAATCTCTTGTGTGTCAGACCTTTAATCTTAGTTACATTTTATGAATGCGTTTTAAATGTGGGAAATTAAAATATTTAGAGTAATTTTCTTATGCATGAATTACTTTGATAATCTCTATTCATAATCGGAAATAATTATAAGGGTTAAATCAGGTGCTTTTATTTTTTTAGTAAGGCTTATTCTTTTACACTAAAAACTAGTATTGCCGATGTTGATGCTTAAACTTTTGAGAAGGAAACTGGTGATCTGTATCTGTACTTAACAACAATGGTTTATCATAAATACATGTTATACTAATACCGACACATCATATGCTACTTAACTGTAACCTTCTATATAGTAATATTATTCATTCAACTAGGGTATTTTCGTAGTAAATTTTGGAAAAAAGTAAGAGTTTTTGTTGATGAACTTAGTTTATACTTAAATTGTAAGGACAATTGTAAGGACATTTGATCGGTGGTATATAGATTAAACTGTTTTGTTTTAATGACAAAACTAAAGTTTGCAGACGACATTGAAGCCTACAAGCTGTCTGGTGGTATAGCTCTTCATTGGTATTTAGACTTCTTCATACCTCCCTCTGTTCTGGACAAATTTCACGAAAAGCATCCTGAACAAATGATCATCTATACGGAGAGCAGTATAAACCCCGTCTTTTGTAAGTCAACTTTTAGTTTGATACAAAAATGTACTATTCACCGTTGTAATGTAAAATAGATATTTATAAATGCATTTTCTTTGAAGAAATGCGTTGTGTAATGTGGATGTAATGTAGTGTGGATGTAATGTAAATAGAGCAACCGAGATACATAATGTTGTTTCATAATCAAGGGTATTTCATAGGGCACAATAATTTGACCAACGTACTTGGAGGAATATGTAAATCATTAAAACGGATCAATTGTGAAATCGTATACTATGTCCTGTTAACCCTAAGGGGGTTTGCAGTAAATTGAAATATCTCTATATGAGTAATTTCTACTGTGTCAATTTAGTTGTACTTATATGAAACTAAGTACCATCTAAGTACAAAAAGGTTGTAGTAGTACTTAATTAAGTACTTAAGTATTACTTAATTATAATATAATGACCAAGATAAGGTAATTGCTGATTAAAATTGTATTTTTGGGAATTTCTGTAGACAAAGGTAGTTGATACTGTATGGGGCACAGTAAGACCCGGAATCGATTTACCTTTTGATTTTGATGTCCCAAGAGGCCAAAAACACGACGTAATGTGTGTGTGCCCGTATGGGTTTGTGTGTGAGTGAGTGCGTGTCCAAGAACGCAATAACTCCCGTAATTTTTGTCTGATTATGATAAAATTTGACTTAGAGGTTTAGGTTACCCGTTTTCCCAATTTTGACCCAAAAAAATATAATTTTCTATTTCTTCCCTATACTTTTTTGAAGTGCTTAAAACAAATAGTATGTTGTAGTTTTTTGCTGGAGAATAAGTAAAATGTTGTATGATATATTTTGCTAAAACTTGGTAAAAATTATTTATTTTATACCAAGCTATTATATTTTACCAAACAGACTTTATAACCCTCCCTACCTATATCAATCCAAGGTACTCATTAAACCTAACTTTATTTAAATAGATTAAAGTGAAAATCAAATAAGGCAATTGGAAAAATTCCTAGTCTGCAGGTTTGCTGTGGCGGGGTTATTTTACTACAATATGTAGTATAGATGGGACGGAAATGGGACATAACATTATTGGCATTGGCTGTATGGAGTTCAAATGGCCTTAGAATCTTATTGATAAACTATTTGCGATTACTGTACTTTTAAACATACATTTTCCACTAATCAACATACAAACCGCAGGGGGCTCACGCTTGCGTGGGTTCGTGGCCTGGGCGACCACGCGGACCCTAGCTCTCCCAGAGGGGAGGTAACTGCCCGGTGTCAGACCCGGCATTTCAGGTAGACCACAGTTATGGACGACTGTTAAGCGCCAGCCCCTTAGGGGGAGCCTCCAGTGACATTCCCTCCATTCAGGGTGGGGGGGGTGTTTAGCTCTCAGTGACGCCGTTAATTCCGCCTCTCCTCATCTACCTGTAACTGTGGTTGTGACTGAGTCCTACCTGTTGTGTTCGACTGACATTTTGTGAGGCATATCCTCGACTTTGGAAGTAGCCTCGTCCTGGGAGGTGAAATACCTAGCCCCCAGAGGGGAGGTAAATGCTCCGTGTTGGTATCGGCATTTTCAAGTTGGCCACAGACATGGTCGACTGGGCATCGGGTCCCAGTGACATTCCTTTATCCAGGATGGAGGGGTGTTTAGCTCTAGGAGAGATGGAAGTACATCATAATCTCTAACCTACCTGTGTCTGTGGTTCTTTGGGCTTCGGCCTGCTTGTTGTGTGCGACCAGCATTCAGTGGGCAAATCCTCGACTTTGGAAGTAACCTTTCCTGGAGGTGAAAACGGGCAAGTACCCGCAGCTCACGGGGACACTCAAGGGCAACGTAACTTTCCGCAGTGTGAGGGCAACGGTTTGTAGGTACTTATGCAAACCTATCCCTGTCTCTGAGCACGGACGGTATGGTTATCTTGAGTGTGGGGGGTTCTTCCCGGAACCTCAATTGAGTCAAGGGTGTCGCCACCTCTGGTGGATAGGTTCATCCGGGTGGGTCCCACTTCTATACCTGCCTCCTTTTGGGAAACCCTGATGGCCTGGCAGTGATGTTGGGTCTGACGGGCAAACGAAGTAGATCGGGTGCTGGGTCCGAGCCCGCCAGGGGTATCTGGGGATCTATCGCTCTGGTTATCTCTGGTTTCCCAGCAATGGGTAAGGCCTCGATCGGGCAGCGGTGTAAATGGGAGGTTGGGGTTCCCCCGTCAGCGTGCTGATGGTCCCCTTCCTCCTGGCTATTGATGGCGGGTTCTGCCTGTCAGGGATGAGATAGGTCCCGAGTGTTGCTTGCACTAAATGCGTCGGGGCGCTCTACTATGGACCTCTAGGTTCCGACCTAGTGGAACCCAGGTGGAGTGACGCTTAAACAAGCAGCCGGAATCCCTGGTTAGGATTGAGGGGCAACCCTCTTTCCGAAGGGTCTGCTTCGGCAGCCGGCGAGCCTGATGACCTTAAGTCATCCGCCCATGATGTGCTAAAGGTTGATGCGTAAGCTTCGGCCTACATCATGGGGCCCGGGTATGTCCTGAAGGATAGGTACCGGGTAATCAGTCAGGGGGCTTCGGCTCTCATGACAACAAATAATAATAATAATAATAATAATAATAATAATAATCAACATACATTTTCCATTAAACAATATACTGTCTGTAATTATTCTTTGTGTAAGTTTCCAATTAACAGTTTCAGGGCCAGGAGATCCAGCAGTGCAGTTTGGTTCTTGGAGGAGAGCGGCACTCTACATGCATAATATGATTGAGGTTAGTTCGTATCAAAATAACGTCCAACCATTCATAACCATGTCAAAATAGATTCTAGGTGTTTTAGATTCCTCTTAAATTATTTATACCAATGAAATTCATTGTCTAGTCCTGCATATGTTTGACTCTTGAGAAATTATAAGAATTTGTCTTAGGCTCAATTACTAATCAAGGTAACAGTTATTTGTGCAACTAGTGAGGAAAGTGAGTTTTCGTCTACGGCTCGTGAGTAAGGGTTTCTCTCGAGTGAGGCAATTGCACTTTGCACATTATATTTTTCCCACAGTTACCATAAAACAAATAAATTGGTAAAGAAACGTGCCTTCACTTTGCAAATCTGGAGTGAGAAAATGTTAACATTGTCTCACTAATGAGCGAATTGGCCACTTTCCTGCTTTCACGTTGCAAATCTTGAGTGAGACAAAGTAGTTAGAGAGAGACAATGTTAACATTGTCTCACTGATGAGCGAATTGGCAACTTTCGTGCCTTCACGTTGCAAATCTGGAGTAAGACAAAGTAATTAGTGAGGCAGTGTTAACATTGTCTCACTGATGAGCGAATTGGCCACTTTGCTTTTTCAAATCAGTGAGAGAACATGTGCATTGTTAGGTAACTGTAGGAAAAGCTATCTTGTGCAATAGTAGAGTCACTTTCTTGGTTCCGTAGCTAGTTAGGAGCAGAGTTACTGATCGTTTGTTATGAAGGTGTACTAGGTAAGTGTGCATAGCAGGATAAATTCATCTATAAAACACGTTTCAGCAACTGTCTATTTGACATTGATAAAAGCTATACAAATAAATGACTAGTCCTTTTAATTGAAGATTGAAATGTATTCAATTAATCTATCTAATAAACCATTACAAAATTAAATTACTACTACATTTAAGTTAAGTTTCTCACAAGAAATGATACAATTTTCTAATCAATACATTATAATTTTACAGAACCTGAATCACTGGACTCAAGGATACATAGACTGGAACCTAGCCCTAAATATGACAGGAGGTCCATACCTATACCTGGCTCTTGACGCTGCTGTCATCGTCAACAACGATACAGGGGAGTTCTACAAACAGCCGATGTTCTACGCCCTGGGTCACTTCTCAAAGTTCATCCCTCCTGGGTCAAAGAGGGTCGGAGTCACCGCAAAAAACCACACTTCTTACGACTATAATGACATGGACGACTTAGATGTGGACAAGATTCTAGAAATCTACAGAAAGTCTAAGATTGGAGAAACTGTCAATTTAGAAGCGATTAAACCAGTCTCGGCTCCAGAGATCGTGGAATGTGTTGCCTCTACCAATCCAGATGGTAGTAATACTATCATTGTGCTAAACAAGTAAGTCATACAAACATACTTTTGTTAATAGTCTATGTTTACTACAGGTGTCATAAAAGTAGTTAGAAAAAGGAATTAAGTTTTTATCGTCGTATTCAATCACTTAATCATACCAAAGTGACATTTTAAACGTTGTAGGGAATTTAGAAAATCATTTAAACTCTAAACCACAAAAAAGTAGCGATTTGAGATGGTTACTATACAACTACCGTACACCATTATTCAGGTAACAACATAAATGCATGTTTTTTTCAATATTGATAATAGTGTGCCTTGAGAAGTTAACCTTACAATGAGTCCACTTTAGATGAATTGTAGTTACTATATGACGAAAAGTTAAAGCAATATGAATCACTCCAATAACGCGATAAGAACCCAAAAAACTGGATATCTGTTTTTTTGGATATCTGGATAATCTCTGAATAATATCCAGATAACTGGATATCTGTTAGTGATGGAAAATCTATATTTGGTACAAGTAAAAAAATAAAATGTAATTCAATGATAAACTCAAATAATTATTAATACCAATAGCTATCACATTTATCAATTTTGGTAAGTTTTTGGACAAATATAGGGATACACATTAAATAAATTTTCAGTTTACATTATCGACTTCAGACTTTTTAACTTTGCCCTAGGAATTAAAACAACTACTTTAACCTGATAAAGCATGCATGAAAACAATCACTATTGCTGCAAGAAGAAGAAAAGTATTAGTTTTCAAGTGGTGCAGTATCAAGAGAGATTACAAAAGAAGTTGAATTAATAATTTGCTTAGAAGCGCATACAATTAAGAAAACGTGCATTAGAAATTTAAGCAAATACGAGGCATGTTTTTTAAGTAAGTACCATTTTTAAATTTCTCCGTTGCAGTGCTGCGAATGGCATTTTGGACATTTTCGCTGTATATGTGCATCTATTGGCAAGCCCTAGCCGGAAATTCGACAACAATCGGCCGTGTTTACATCCGGTATCGAGCATTCAAAATGGTGCCGCCAATTGAGACTGCCGCCGACTGTGAAGTGCGCGCTGTAATTAGAGTTTTAGGTGCTAAAGGTGTGAAAGCCATTGAAACTTATCGACAGATCAGTGAGGTGTATGTCAAGAACATTTATGAGTGACGAAATGGTACGCAGGTGGGTAAGGGCCAGCGAACACAGAAGGGCATCTGAAGACAGCCCCACCAACGTCCATCATGAGCAACGCACTGGGCAGCGTCACTGTCCCCAGTACCCAGTGCGTTGTTCATCATGGACGTTGGTGGGGCCGTCTTTAGATGCCCACCCACTTGTGTACCATTCCGTCACTCATTAATGTTCTCGCCATACACCTCACTAATCTGTTGACAAATTCCAATGGCTTTCACACCTTTAGAACATAAAAATCTAATTACAGCGCGCACTTCACAGTCGGCGGCAGTCTCAATTGGCGGCACCATTTAGAATGATCGATACCGGATGTAAACACGGCCGATTGTTGTCGAATTTCCGGCTAGAGCTTGCCAATAGATGCACATATACAGCTCAAATGTCCAAAATGCCAATCGCAGCGCTGGAACGGAGAAGTTTAAAAACGGTACTTACTTAAAAACATGCCTCGTAAAACAACAAAGTTCCAAACGTTTACTTAGAAACAAGTCTCTAAATAAACATACTTTAAGTGGTGTAAACATTTAAAAGAATAACACATTTAAAAGAATAACACATTTAAAAGAATAACACATTTATAAGAATAATAGTTGCTCCTTTTAAAATTATTTTAATATATTTTTTATAATACTTTATTTATACTTTTTCAGCAAAAATATAACTGCAAGAGTTAAACTTGACATCGCTCATCTTGGAACTGTTACTTTGGACCTGGAAGAGAAATCCTTAAATACTTTTGTATATTGGATGTAGTTTTAAAAAATGTTTTATAAAATATGAGTTTTTTAATACCTGTGAAACTTAAGATTAATAATAAATAATATAAATTGGGTTACTTTAGCTGCTGACTAAATAGAACTAAATAGAACAGAAAAATCTATTGAATGTGATGATGATTGGAGTGTCCAATCGAAATCGATCACCACTTACCATCCTTTATGTATATTTACCGTCTTGTGAGTTAACAATATATAAGCATAAATATATATTTGAAGTGTTATTAGACGTATATTTTATTTGCTTACCGTAAATTTCATAACAGGTACAATGCTCATCAAAAACCTATTAAAAAAGTTATATTTTATATTAGAGGTAAGTTTTACTAAAGCCAAACATCAGAACTGACATGTTTAAATCCATACACATTGCTAAAACGATATCGTTTTGGGATGATGGTAAAATGCAAATTCATTTTGTAATGTGAATGTCAGACTTTAGTATTTTTAATCAAAACTATTTTAGGAAGTTTATTAGCTTAACTCTAAACTCGTAACATACAGTTATTGTATATTACCCTTCGCCAGTAAAAATTACATTTATGTAGAGATCCTTGTAATCCATATTGAGCAGCACGACATCTTATCCTAAACTAAAACCGCTAACTACTTATAGGATTGTAAATGTCTTATGATTGTAAAATGATAAAAATTATAAAAATGTTAACTCTGAGTCTATTTTATTTGTGTATATTTCACATAATAAAATATAGCCTTTATCATGGAAAAACCTTTCTAGTGCCGTAAGTCCGATAAAGAAAACTTTATTATAATACATTTGTGTGCAGAATATTTTAAAGGTAATAACTTTAATGGTAGTCGAATAATTCTATGCCATATAAATACTTTATACTACTTCTTTTTATCATCAAAATAAAAAAGTTTGAGTTTTTAATTTCGTAAAATATTTTTTTAGTTGCACCTTTGTATATCAATCAAATTAAGCAATTAATAAATAGTTTTTATATATTATTTAGTAAGAACAATTTGCTGATTCTAACATGTGTAACTAATTTAGGAAACAAATGTTAGATAGAAGATCTTAGATATAAAATTGCTCTGTTAATTTCGTTCTAAAAATGTTTCAAAACGTTAAATTAAAAATTGTTAAAAAAAGGGGCATGTATTGCATCAAACCAAAAAAATGAAACCTGGCAAAAAATACGTAAACACGAATAATGCAAATAAATGAGCTATTGAGCTACGCCATTTTTGAGGGGCGAATATGTTTCAAAAAAGATATAAATAATAAGTCGAGATACACATATTGATACAAATAGGATACAAATAATAAAGTACAATCAAATAAATCCCAGATTAAACTGCAGTAGATTGAACTAGTAAAATGTGCAATAGAGGAAGATTGAACAAAAAAGTTATGAATGCTATGTGTATATGTAACGCTGCTAACGTAGGTTATCGTGTTGTTTTCCAGGCGTGAGCCTTGATAGATTGGCGTGTTTTAACACCTATCATTTTAGGTAAAGTGGATCCATTGCACGACATGACAGACTAATAGATTCTGATGTTTTGCATTGCACGCAATTTCTTACCCCATTCTGAAACACCGTAAAATGAAAACCTAAAAATGGTTTTAAGCCTATTAAACAGTAAAAAAATCTTAAAGATGAGCATACATTAGTTACAAGTTAAGGTTTTCTTGAAAGATTATCGTTGGTTGAATTTATAAATGAAATGTAATACTATAGTCAGTGATATGAAATAACAAGAAAATATGGTGAGTACCACTTGAACGTACAAAACGTAAATACCAAAAGATCGCAATTTAATTACACGTTTAACCATTAGCTTTCAACTTTCCTCTCTATATTCTGATTACTTATGTAATAATCCGCTTAAAAAAACTTTTTTACTACGTTTAATGTTATTACTTTCCATGCGATATATTACATGATTGCGAACACAAATTTCAGAAATCGCATCACTTTAATCATGTGTAAATCAGACAGTAAGAAATCTTTTTCCAGTCGTCACTAATTATTAAATTTTAAAAACATTTTTTTAGTAAAACGAACTTAATACGGATGATATTTTGGTAAAATACAAATTTACCTGAAGGGATTACAAATATCAAAAAGAAATAAAACATTGAATTATGCCCTTACCACTTAGGATAATCCCTATGTACATCCATAATTAATTTTTAACATATGATCACACATTGGGTAAAATAAAAATTATCGCGATCTGCAGGTCTTTTACCTCTTTTTATGAAGTTGTGACATATCACAACGAGTTTTGACTTGTTTGAATCTTAAGTTGAGGACAAATAGTTCAGGCCAATTTTCACAGGCGTAAAAGGGTTTTAGTTATAATGAATTGACACTGTGCTACACTCTCAATTCTTTCGTTCTTTATAAATTTGTAAACAGTTGATGAATGAGTAGCTACACCAATTATGAACTTGGAACCAGCTCCCATGCATTCTACGTAAGAAAATGATTTACTGTAATATAACTAACGTTACTTGTTGATGCCAGTAAAGTACAGATGTTGGATGACATAGACTTTGATGTTAGTTGTTATTAAGTAATATAGAGTAGAAAAAATAACATTGTATTGTTAAGTATGTTCCCGACCTACAATATAACGAAAATAGACGTAAATAATTTGAAATGTTAACTTTAGGAATCAACTACATCATGATGATGGTACCTTTGCTTCTCGTTGCGTTAACATCCATGGACAAGTTTTATTTACAATCTAAAGACGGTACAGCCAATGCAAGTGTGGCCCATGATCAACAAACGAGAGCCGAAAATTGCTGAACTTGGATTCCTTCAAGATGCGTCATACCTCTTCGGAGATCCTGAACCTTTCATCGTCAATATCAATGTAATGGAGAAACAGCTGTTTGAACAATCCTTCCTAGGGATTATAAGGCAAAAATACCGTGTAATAAGATTGAAGAGGATGATAAAGTGGAAGAGGAGAAAATAAATGGAGATTATGAAGAGGATGATGTCATAGAGCCTGATTGCGTGCCCTTAACCGAATCGTGTACCCCTTCTACTGAATGTACAACTCATAGCACAGAAGGTTCTACTAGCAAACATCAGAGCACCATAACTACTTTTACTACGTGTAGAACAACCGATTGCCTTTAAGTGTACAACCACCACTAGTTCTAGGTGGACGAAAACTGAAGAACCCACACGTGTGTCTCAAGAGCTGCGCCAAAGGACGTGATAAGCGAGCTTGTTATACTCTACCTGAGAAAACCAGCTGTGATCCAGAAGGAAAAAAATAACAAAGAAAACTCTACAGTATAAATTATTCTACTACAGAAAAGAAGCCTTCTTGACACAACCCTTTTAGAGAATTTCCCATATAGGGAATAACGTATTCTCGTAGTACTCATGGTGAGACATGGACCCGGGACGGATTTACTTTTTCGTTTTGAGGTCCCTAGAGCCCAAAAACACCATCCGTTCAAATTCATATATATATATAGAGAATTCATATATATTCATATATAGAGAATCTTACGTTTCAGATTGAGTAAGGTAGCGTCATAACCTAAACTAAAAATATATAATGTGTCATTACCATCATTTAAGCAAATAATACGTCGAAAACAAGGTCTTTTCTAATTTGACTAACGAGCATTAAACAATGCTCGTCTTTTCGTTAACGATAGGAATTGTAATTGTTGACATATCAAATTACAATTGCGTGTTTCAGCTAATATAAATTGGGAGCGGGTAGAAAATAAACCATTATTAATCAAATCAATGACATATTATTTGATTTAGAATTGGATATTCCTTAGCTCAATGGAAAAATTATGTCATGATTTTGTGTATAAAGCAATTGTAGTTTGTTTGCTCGTTAAAGTCTACAAGAGAAATCTCAGACCTTGCCAGCAACAAATGGCCTCTATAAATTATTCTCGTGATAAAGAAAACCCACCCTTTGATATTTACTGTTTAGGACGATTACAACGGAAAATGCTAGTATTATACATTAAAAAAATCTATTTATTAATAAAGCTAACATTTATATTATTTTGTGTACTGCACTATTGGTTTGCCTGACGATAAATATCTTACTTTCTAACCGTGATTACATTATAATCTTATTTATTAATACCTCATTGTTACGTTAATATTGTGCAACGCATACAATAAGAAAGTAGGCCTACATTTTGTTTATGAATATGTGTATAAATATAAAAAAGCAGGACTGAGTTTGAAAAAGTAGTGTATAAAAAATGAAAATACTGCCCAACAATTTGAATATACGTACCTGTTATTCCTGACTAGAACAAATATGATTCAATCCGGTTCAGTCTTGAGACCTTATAGTCTTTTCGTCCGGACAACAAACAAAAGCCTTGAACACTCAAGAATATTTTCAGGTACATTCT